CTACAAAAAAGGACAGAAAAACAAACTATATGTGCTATCAGTGTGACACTTGTGTATGGAACATGCAGTTGTCATGTGTGAAGACTGTCTTAGGTGTGACAGTTGAAGCAAAGATTATTTCTGTAGTGGGTTTTTATTTGTATTTACATTGTAGTTCATATAGTTTTTACTTCTGATGTTATCATTTAGATTTTGTTAGCAAGTAAATACCTGATGTGAAAATGTTGGTGTCTATTCTAGGTGCTCATTACATATTTGATATTTTATTGATATCTTATTTTCCTAAGCGCACATTGTACAATATAGTAAGAAGCTCCTGGTAGAACAGGAGGACGAGAGGTGACAAGAATGGCCTGCCACATAGGAAAGGAAAGCCAAGCACATGTGCCGTCAGGGTGAGACATGTGCATGGAGCATGTAGTTGTCATATGTAAAGACTGCCATGTAGGGGCTGGGGACTAAAGTTCAGTGGCATAAGCACCTGCCTTGCAAACAGGCGGTCATGCGTTTGATCCCTGGTACCGATAAAAAAAAAAAAGACTGCCGTGTGACAACTGAAGCCAGATTATTTTTGTTGTAGAGTTCTATTGGTATTTTCATTGTAATTCATACGGAAATTGATTTTTGATGTCATCTTTTAGCAAATACATAGATGTAAAAATGTTTATTCTAAACATGCAATACATATGAAGAATACTTTATTTTGATATTTTCTGTTCCTGTTAACTACACATTGTATAACAAGAACCTCCTGACAAAACAGTAAGACCAGCCAGATGTCAAGTGTGTCCTACAAAAAGACCAGGAAAGCAAAACACATTGTCGTCAGTGTGATACATGTGTATGGAACGTGCTGTTGTCTTTTATGTAGACTGCCTTAGATGTGGTAATTGGACATTAGTTTTTTTGTAGACTTCTATTGGTATTTCCATTGTTCATATAGAATTTATTTGTTATTTTTTAGACTTTGTCATACACCAAAAAGTCAATGTTGACAATTGATGTTTTCATACTAAAATTTCAATACTTTAAAATTTTTTTCCTGTTAAGTACTCATTGTTTAACAGTAAAACTCATAAAATTAATAATTCATCAATAGAGACAGTCTAAAGAATAAATGTGGGTATTGTAGACCCAACACAATGTACCTTTATGATAAAATCAGTGTTATATCCTGTGGGCTATGTTTCTCTTCATATTATTTTGTATCACGCAACATTTGTTCCTTCTTTTTTGTTGTTGTTGTTGTTGTTGTTTGTTTTGTTTTGTTTCTTTTTTGGTACCTGGAATCAAACTCACCCCCCTACAGTTGCCAAGCAGTTGCTTATGCTGCTGAGCTAAATCACCAGCCATTTGTTCCAATAACACTTACTTTGCAAATGAAAAAAAATCTAATAAAAACTCAGTAATTACACAAAACTTAGTGAAGAAGCCAGGGATGGTGGTGTAAGCCTGTAATACTAGCACTTGGGAGGCTGAGGCAGGAGGATCAAAGCCAGCCTGAAATAGTGAAACCCTGTCTCAAAAATCAAAACAAAACAAAACAAAAACCACACAACTGAGTAAAGATACTTTTACAGGATAATAATGTTCCAAATAATGAGATTGAGGGAAGGAATTATTTTGCTTTCTTCCTTGTATCTTTCTAAATTTTCCTTTGAGAGAATACGGAATGCACATTTTTTAAAAAAAGAATGCACATTAAAAATGTTTAAAGGTGGGGCTGGGGATTTAGCTCAGCGGCATAAGCGCCTGCCTTGCAAGCAGGCAGTCGTGAGTTCGATCCCCGGTACCGATAAAAAGGAAAAAGACAAAAAAAAAAAAAAAAAAAAGAAATGTTTAAAGGCAACCAATATTTTTTGGAAAGAAAATCACTCAACACCAGACAAAATCAATGCTGTGACTACAAGTCAGATAAAAGAAATGTAGGTATGAAGTAAGATTGAAAGAGAACAATCTAATAAAAGGAGGTAGTTTGAATGACTTCAAAGCTTTGATACAGATACATGCAATAAAAACAACTTGCCAAGATGTCTATCTTCGTATACTTATAAATTGGTCCTTTAAAATTACTTTTTCTGGGCTGGGGATTTAGCTCAGTAACATAAGCGCCTGCCTGGCAAACATGAGGTCATGAGTTTAATCCCCAGTACCAAAATAAAATAAAATTACTTTTTCTGAAGAACCAAAGCAAGCTGTCCTGGGAGAAAATAGTTGCTAAATCTCAGTCTGTCACAAGCATTACTTCAACAGGGAGCAGGAAAAATCAATAGGGGAAAAATGAACACAAATATGCGTGACTGAAGGGGAAAACTCACATTTCACTAGTGCGCTAATGCTAGAGGCTAGCAGAGAAACAGACTAAACGTGTGTTGGATGGTATAAAGGAACTCTTTTCCACCTTTCTGTCTCAGCCTGCTAGAGCTGGAGAGGATGTTCCATTTCTCTGGTAGGACAGCAACTGTCTCTTTGCAGTTCACACAAGTGGAAAGTGGACCCCATGCCAACTGATTGGCTGCATCAGACAAGGCCTACGTGGAGGAAAATTTGAGGTACATGCATTTCGGTCTCAGTCTCCCAATTCAGCTTTACTAGAATACATCACCACTCAAATGGTGGTTTCTTGTGCCTTTTTCAAGGGGATTAGAGTTCAGAGGCAAAGACAGGAACCTCCAAAACCCCAAGAGATAACTTTGCACTTCTTCCTTTTATTTCAAAGAATCTCATACAAAGGAAAATGGGTTCTGCATTTAAAGTCAAGCACAGGCTGAGTGTGGTGGTGCAGGCCTGTAATCTCAGCACTCAGAAGGCTGAGGCAGGAGGATCGCTTTGAGTTGAGGTCAGCCTGGGCTACTAAGCGAGCTCAAGGTCAGCCTAAACTGCATAGTGAGACCCTGTCTCAAAAAAAAAAAAAAAAAGTGAAGCACAAGCACTACAGACATTGAGAAGTTGGCCTCTACTGGAAAGCAAAATAATCATTATAGAGCTGGTTAACGATTGATAATTTTTGCTAATGTGTTTAGATATTCCTATGGTCATGTGTTCCTAAGTTTTCAGTAGTATAGTATGCTTTTGGCTTTGCAATACCTGGTCACTACAATAGCAAATGCTTCGTGTTCACCAATACCATCAAACAGGTAACCCCGGAGCCAAGTAAGTAAGAAAACTAAGTAAAGGAAAATAATCCTTGATTTTGACCTCCAACTCGACTGTCATCACAGAGGTAAAAAAATGATTTTTAAACTCAAGTAGATTCAAATGCTATAGCTCTGATAGTAACAGCTTTTTTGGTGCAAGAAGTGCTGAACAACTAAAAGGTCACAGTACTTCCAGCTTATAAACTGGGAATTCATTGTATGATCTATCTATGTCCTTCATCTTCCTGTGCATGTGTGCACGTATGCCTTATCTATAGCCAACACTCCACTAGGGTAACTTAAAATAGTAATTTATTTACAATAGCAAAAATGTCAAAAAGTAACAGGAATAATATATAACAAATCCAAGAAGTATTTCATGAAAAAGGCAAACAATATATACATGAAACAAAAGATAAAACAAAATTCATAGGACAAACTTTGGATCTTCTCTAAAAAGCTGCAGAATGTGGCAACAGGGTTTTTTGGATACCAATTACTTAAGTAATGCTGGGCCAACACACACACACACAGTTTCAGTCCCCCCCCCCCAACTTGTTCAGTCCTCTTCTGAGTTTTTTCTATCTTTGAGGAATGCAACTTCGGGAGGTTAAGATTTAGGAAGAATAGGCTATGTACATGTGCACTAAAGGCTATAGTTAGTAACTGGCTGAGCTCACTTTAAAGAGTAAACCAAAGGTAGAAACTAAGCCTTACTTTACCTTCATTGTTCACTTCTGGTTGCTGTTTTTGATTTTTCTCGTCCACCACACAGAATCTCCCCAAGTTCAAGTGCTCTAAAATGTTTCAATTATCATACAACCGAATCACCAAGGAAACAGGTTAAAACATGCTGCTGGGCCCCCATCCAGCTTTTCAATTCAGTGGATATTGAGGGTGGCTGAGAACTGCCATCTTTAACCAAGGCCCAGGTGATTACCAGGCTGCCAGATCATACCGAGAAGCACTGCTCAGAAATAGTCCCCCCTTAAGATTTTGATCGGTTGTGCCTTTTGTTACACAAATCCCAGAATTTGTGAAAAATAAAGGACGTACTGAGGTTCCTAGAGGACAGAACAGCACGTTATCTGACTGTGAACACAAGACTGGGTAGACGTGCTGTCAGGCATTCTCCTATAGCTATTTTCGGTATGCTGATTCTACATAGTGTTCTCCACACATAGTGTTCTCCACATGTATCTTTTTTTTTTTTTCTTTTTTGGTACCAGGGATCAAACTCACGACCTCGTGCTTCCGAGGCAGGCGTTTATGCCGCTGAGCTAAATCCTCAGCCCTTGACCATTTTTCTTAAGTTCTGGTTATCTACTATTTCAACTATGAGGTCCATACTTCTTCCCATGATTAAAGAATCATAGAATCTCATTCTTAAAAGCAAAGGTGGCACAAAAATCTCCTGACTCCTGAGAACTTTTGCCTAATTTCCAAATTTTTACTGTAACAAATGACCATCATCTAGTATGCTGTCTACTAGAGCCCTCCAAACTAGGCCCAAAGGGTAATTTGAGGGCAGGACTTTAGCAGTGGAAGTGGTGATGTCTGCACTGATTAAATGTACTGTAGATTCATACTGAAATGAAGTGCTCTCAAAACCCACTCTTTGCATGGGTAATTTATCTGGGGGAATTGGAAATGCTAATAAAACAAATGAAGATCAAAAGAAAAATGAACTTCAAGGACATGCTCATCAAAGGACTCACCAATCACCTCTTAGCTTCTCTGAAATATTACTTGCAAATTCACAGGCCTGAAATATTACTGTATTTGCATCTGAGTCACAAAACTCAAAGCAATCAAGCATTCTGCATTTCACTGCTGCATAAAAGAAATTAAGAAATGGGGGGATGAAAATAATCCACTGCTTTTGATGTTTATTAGGTTTACAAAAACTGTACAATTTTTCTTAAGAAAAGCATTAACTTAGTACTGGTATCAAACAGACTGAACATTAACAGGAAAATATTTTGATTTTTATTTTTGCACATTCTCAAATACACAATTACAATAATGTCACACATCCCTATATGATTTTCTTTTTATGTATTTTACTTTTTTTACAAAGTATACAGAGGGAGGGACATACAATATTTAATAGGATATTTCTACAGAACAATAACTTATATTATGTCCTTGTAAAAATCTGTACCTCTTTAAAACATTTAACTGAAACACCCATTTTTGTTTAGCTTTGCTAATCAAAATTGTTTTAAGAATTAAAACTAGGTTGTAACTAATGTCAGTACATAACAGTGACTACAATTTAATTTTCTCTTTATACAGACAAATACATTTTATATTCAATTGACCAAACCCTTAAATACCTTTTAAAGGCTTCAATATTGTGCTTTAAAAAGAAAACAACTGTGTATGGTTCCAGGTTACGTAAAGAGAAATATAAAGTGTGTAAAGTGTTGTGTTCTTTATCTTTCAGTTTATTTAAAAAAATATAGTTAAATGACCCAATTATTTATATTTTCTGAATCAATTGTATAGGATGTTTTAAAATGAATAAATTTCTAGTTTGAGTGTTTTACAGTATATCTGGGGAAAATAAAAAGGGAGATTTTCAAGATTCTCACAAAAAAACAGACAGAGCTTTCAAGAATAGCAGGGCAATGAATCACAGAATATTACATTTTTTTTTAAAGGAAAAAAAAAAAAAAAGCACATTATGGGAGCCAAGAGGACACAGGAATTCCCTATGGGATAGGCTAGGGAAACCCACGTCTTGGTTTGACTGGCATTTAGGCTACATTTCATATTAGCCTAAAGCACTTAATTTAGAACTAGACTAAATTAATGTAGCACTTCAGAGGCTTGCCAAACACCAAATATTTAGATTTCTAACACTAAAAATATAACTTTTGAATACAAATATTGATGGCAAAGAGAAAGATGGAAGATAAAAACCTAAGGGCACAAAAGGGATGGAGCACCATAACAAGGTGGCAAGGCAGCTATCAAGTGAGAAAATTACTAAATCCCCCTTGATGCGTCAGATACATGTGCCAACAGCCAATTCCAGGGACCTCAAAAACGGGTTTCTGTTCAAGAGTCACCCTAACATAACCAAATCCTAATTAACCAAGTTAACTATACAAATGTATGACTGATTCAAACCTACATGTTATTAAAACTGCCAACTCTCAAAGAAAAACAAAATGGAAAGACTTGGTGAGGTTCCAAATAAGGCCTCAGATTTTCCTTCTGCACCTGGAACACACCTTTATCTCCTAATCCAAGCCAACTTGACTGTTAAGTTTTTCAAGCCTGCTAACTATAACTGTCTAGGAAATAGCAGAGCATGCTGACCCTGCCAAGTAAGTCATAATTAGCACCGATTCTCTGGTCCGTGGAGCCATCGTTCCTCTCCGACCCCCTCACTTGGTGAGACAAACAGTTCTCACGCAGCTGCTCCGACAGAACTGAGGGAGTCATGCCTCGACACTCACTTGCTTTTCAGAAAAATATAAATGCATGGAGCTGAAACTGTATGAAAACTTCTATCTAAAAACATCTTAACCTCTAGTTTCTTCAATTATTTTTCAGTTATCAAAGATATTTAAAAAGAAAATACCTTTACTCTTTAAAAATACTAGTGTCCGTATTTTTCCTTCTAATTCTTCACCTGAGTAGTCTCTCTGAAGAGCATGACTTACAAAATGCTCTCTCATGCATCCCTGGATCTTTCATGTTATTGTAAATTTAATACTTTTCATTATAGATTTTAAACAACTACTACTTGGGGTTGTGTGTATAAATATGTAAAATAAGCAATACACACAGATACATGTTATATATATATATGTGTATATATATAAGTCAAGAGTACATTTACATATATAAAGTTGCAAAAGATCCTATGAGCCACGAGTCACCTCTAAGATTCCAAAATGCAATCCTCAGTAAATTTCACTTGCAGCACACAACCAACCATTCCAGACAAAGCAGCACAGACAGAATAATCAAAATACAACAGGATCACGCAAAAATTGTCCAACAAAGCTTTCCTAAAGTTTGCTACGCTGACAAAAGATGTAGGTAGTCCAGAGAAAGCAAAAAGAAGTATATTTTGTTGCTAAACAAAACAAAAAGTAAACACAAGCCCAGCCACTGCTCTTTACTCAGCGATGCCAGGGACACAAAAGCTCAAATACAAACTCCCCTCGTTGCATGGTCTGAAAGCACTAATCAAGATAAGTAAGTAACTTCCATGTTATGATCATGAGACCTGACCATAAAATCTCCCATTCATATTAAGATACCTCTGACAATTTTATTGTGAGAAATTTATGGGGGAAAAAATGAGTCAACACTTTCAGAGTAACCAATCTAAAGTTACCTTAAGTTAAATGGTCTTAGAAGAGTACCATCAAGGTAAGCAAGGTAAATATTTAAATAAATATAAAACTTCTAAGATAGAAAAATTCAGTATAGAATCAGGGATTACTTTATTAAAAGCAACTAGCTTGTTGCTACTTTTCCCCATTTATTAAACAAACTGAATAGAATTCAGAACACACTACTGAACAAAATGTAAAAAAAAAAAAGTTAACTAGAAGTAACAATTCTATTTGTACACAGCATAAATCAATATACAGTATTGTATGTGAACTAGACTGATTGGCTTTAAAATGAATTTCTTGTGTCAAGGCCAGTATCTCTACAATTATCTGTAGAAGTATTGTTAGGGCAGGCCAACTTCTTTATGATGACGCATTATGTGCTGGTTCTTCTCTGAAGGTCTTCGGAACCCTTTCTTGCAGTACTCACACCGGTGAGGATAGTCCTTTGTATGAATGGAAATAACATGTCGCTTAAAGCCTGAGGCATCTGTAGTGCTATACTCACAATACTCACACTGATACACTTTCCGGCCACTGTGTGTCTTCATATGCTTTTTAAGCTCATTCTGCTGCCTAAACCCCTTTCTACATCTCTTACATCTAAATGGAAGATCCTTAGTGTGAACTGAGAGAATATGGCGACTTAGCACAAATGGATCTGCAATCTTAAAGTCACAATGTCTACACTGGTGCATTTTTTTACCCTTGTGGGCAGCCACGTGTTTCTTGAGTTCTGAAGGCCTATGAAAGCCTTTATCACACATGTCACACTTATGGGGGTAGTCTTTCGTGTGAACTGAAATTATGTGTCGTTTTAAATCACTTGAGTTCGAACTTTTGTGGTCACAATGCAAACACTGGTGTGTTTTGCTTTCTTGGTGGATAAGAGCATGTTGCTGCACCTCTTTGGTATCTGAGAAAGTCAGAAAACAAATGTCACACTTGAATGGCATCTCTTTACTATGCTTAGTCTTTACATGTGTTTTCAAGTTAGAAGAGTCTGCAGACCGATATTCGCAGTACTGGCATTGGTACGGCTTCTCCCCGGTATGGATTCGCATGTGCTTTTTGAGCTCTGATGGGTGGCGAAAACCTTTACCACACTCTACACAAATATGAGGAAAGTTCTTGCTGTGGACCGCCAAAAGGTGGCGATTCAATAACCCTTGTTCAGCTGTCTCATATTCACAAAATTTACACTTGTGCATTTTGTTGGCTTTTTCCTTATGCACCATTTTGTGAGTAAACAAAGCCCCAGCATGAGAGAAATGTTTCCCACACTCATCGCATTCGATGGCTTTCTCTGCCTTGCTGGTCAGCTTGTGGCTCTCCAGATGATTGTGTAAACTTATCTTCTTGTTGGTAGTGTAATCACAGTCAGTACAGCGGTATTTCTTCTTGGCAAGGTGTTCAGGATGGTTTTTCATGTGCCTTTTCAAGAAACCTCTTGACTTAAACTTCTTTCCACAGATCATGCAAGGGTAGACAGTCAAAGGATGTCCATCAGGGCCAATAATTATTGCTAAGCAGGGACAAGAAAAGAGAGCATAAGGTATCAAGCCAAATTCTCTTTCAGCTGCTTCAAATATTTGCAGTATTCTGAATGCTACTGGTCAAGGACTCGTAAGTTAGGCTATTTGCTATTTAATATTCTTTTTGTCATTTTTCAACATAAGAAACACAGCAACTTGGTCACACAATGACAGTTTGGTCTGGAAACTTCACTCAGTAGGACTGCACCAACCTTACTCCATCATTTAATAAAATTAGTGAATAAATATACAACTTCTACGAACTAGTGATTAAAGTCATATCAATTGAGAAATCTTGGGCAATTATTCATAGTTTATAATCAAAATTCCTGCTTTGGTTATTTAAAAAAATCTGTGTTAAATATATCCATAAAAATTTTAATATGCAAATCCATATGCAAGAATAGACAGAAGTATGTCAGATGCACTGAAGTACTTATCTTACTACTCTGTAAATTATACTTATACCACTTCACACTAACATAATTAGATTCTTTAAATGTATTTTTTAAAGTTAATGCTTATAACATATGTGAGGAATTCCTTTTCATTTCTACATAAACATCATCCAAGTTTTTAAGCCAGGCGTGGTGGATCACACCTGTAATCCCAGCACTCGGGAGTGTTGAGGCAGGAGGATCATTGCGATTCAAGACCAGCCTAGGCTACAAAGTGAGCTCAAGGCCAGCCTAAAGTGCATAGAGAGCCCGTCTCAAAAAGACCCCCCCCCCAAAAATCCAAGTTTTTATATTTTCATCCATATTTGATCTATTTACTGTTTCTTTTTCATCTAAGGAAATCATTCATGAATATCACTGAATTCTGAAAATTGTATTTCCAAATTCAATATACAAAAGCTACATGTGGTCTAGCAGCTAAAATGCCATCACAACACCCCTGTGGACACATACTAGAGTTTCCTCTGAGAGCTTGCAGAGCATGCTGCACCATGATGGAACTTGTGCACCCTCACCTGTTTGGTACTGCCTTGAATCAGGTCTTCTCCTTTTCTTTGGTTTTTGTTTAGCCAGTCTGCCCAGGCCAGCAGACTCATCTATGTGCAAGAGGGCACTTGCAGTGCCATTCCGGTTTTCAATTCCATCAGAATTATTACCTAACAATGTGCATTAAAAAACACAATTATACAGTATTATAAATCATAAAGTTAGGAATTCTTTTATTAATTATGACAACAAAAAAAAGCAAGCCATGATACTCATGAATGACAAAAATTCCCCATTCTAGGTAATGAATTGGGACAGTAGGATATGTCTAGTTTCTAAAGCTAAAAACACACCAGCATTTTCTCCACAGGTTCCCTTGTCTCCCAGAACTGTAAAGTCATGGGCCAGATATAAACAAGATAAAAAGTTTCAGATTGAAAGCCTGTGTATTTCTTGCAGTACCTTCTTCTACGTAATATAAACATGAAGAAATTCCCATTAAAAATAAAAACAAAAAGTGGACTTTATAATCTTCCTCGCCTCTTGTTTAGATCAAATAATCCTAAGAGGGTACCGGTATTTCAGATTTCTGAAACTTAACACCACAGATAGTTTTTAAATCATGGTTTCATGCCCAAAAACCAATCTGACCAATCCTAAAACCAGCTCTGTGACTTACCATAAGCGGCTGCCCAAGCGATTGGCATAAAGGTTTTGATTTCACTGTCATCCATTTGTTGTTCATGTGCAGCAGCCGCCGCCGCAGCTGCTGCCGCATCCTCCTCTCCTACAATCACTTCCATGTAGACTTCATCGGCAATTTCAGCAACATCTACACCGAAAATTACAAAGACTTTTTTCATCAGGTTTACAGCAATTAAAGGAAACATACTTTTATTTGAATTCAGTTAATAAACAAATAAAAGGTCCAAATATTATGTACCTAGAATATAGCTTTTGCCATAGTAAGCACTCAACAAATATTTGTTGAATGAATCACTCATACAATTCTTGGCTTTTGCCAATTTGGTTTTAAAGTAATATTCTTTTTTTTTTTTTTTTTTTTTTTTAGACAGGGTCTCATTATGTAGTTCAGGCTGGCCTTGAACTTACTATGTAGCCCAGACTGGCCACAAACTCATAGCAATTCTCCTGCCTCAGCCTCCTGAATGCTGGGGTTACAGGCATGTGCCAGCACACCTGACTTAAAGCAATGCTGTAAACATAAAAAGCCACTGATGTTTCCCTCTAAATATGGCAGTCCAGCAATCTCAATGATGCTACTTGCTTCTTTCCAATACTGGCCATTTAAAAAAACAGAGAAAGAGCTACGCACACATAAAATTTTCACCCACAAAAAGGCCACCTACTTACTTAAATCTTCGTCTTCTTGCTGAGAGTCATTGACGGTCATATAAACCATCTTTTCCCTGGGAACACGTATACTGTTGTTCTGGTCAAGGAGCTCCACTCCATGGTCATTTTCAGGCTCACTCTCCACAATGTCTACGGTTCCACCTATCAGAGAAAAAGGTAGGTTCAAGGGTTTATTTGAAAACTTCATTTCTATCTCCTTTCACGTATTTTTTCTTAAATTTTTGTAGTTTTCAGTTATATTAGAATTCTTGTTTAAAAGTTATCTTCAGAAAATATTTCAAATGCTGTCAATCTTAAAAAAACACAGAAGTAATCAGGCTGAAGCACTTGATAGGATATGCATAGTTTGCTACTTAAGGCTTTTTCTTACCTAAGTCATCCTCTCCGGGGTCAGCTTTAAAAATGTACACCTTGATGACTTCTGGACAATTGCCATCCACTTTACAAGGATCAATTTCTGACTCCGCATCCATGTTCATTCCAGATGAACCATCATGTTCAATTTTGCCAGCATCATCCACTAAACAGGCAGGAAATATATCACAAATAGTAACAGAAGATACATAAAATGTTACTTGTTTTCTGAAGCCTTTTTATAAAACAGTCTCTAATTTGATTTACAAAACCTTGGATGATTTTACCTAGACAAGTAGAAGGTTCAATAAAGACATTCTTTTTTTTTTTTTGTCTTTTTCATTTTTATCAGTACCAGGGATCGAACTCATGACTGCCTGCTTGTAAGGCAGGCGCTTATGCCACTGAGTTAAATCCCCAGCCCCAATAAAGACATTCTTAAAGATATCTGAAAATGGGATCACACACTAAAGTAAAAAATACAACTAAAAAGTGAAAACTCCTGGTAATCTAGAAAATTGTAAGTAACAAAAAATAAATTTAGCCTTTGCTAAACCATTAGTAAAAACAAACCTACATTAAAGATATTCTTTTAAGATGGTGGCAAGTTTGTGGGAAAAAAGCACTTTTCGAAAACTGTTAGTGGGAATGTGAATTAATACAAGTACTATGGAGTACTTGTATTAGTATTAGTATGAAGATTCCTCAAAATAAAAAAAAATTCCATTAAACTCAGCTATTCCACTTCTAGGTTACCTTTCCAAAAGAGTTAAAAAGACATCATATTACAGTAATACATGATACTCATGTTTATAGCAGCACAACTTTCAACAGCTAAGTCTTGGAAGTAGCTTACATGTCCATTAACAGATGAATGGACTAAGAAAATACGGTAGCTATACACAATGGCGTGCTACTCTACCAAAAAGGAGGATAAATTTGAGTCATTTTGTAGGAAAATGGATATACCTTGACAAAATAATGTTAAGAGAAATAAATACACGAGCTTAAATATTGCACTGATTCTCTTATGCAAAAAACCCAAAGTACAAACAAAGAGCAAAATAAAAAATAATAGGAAACAAGGGGATAGAACTTCTGCAAATGGGAAATAGACCAAGGGGGGCTGGTTTAAAAAGAATTAAAATGTGTTACGGCCAAGTGTGGTGGTACATGCCTATAATCCCAACATCTGGGAGGCTGAGGCAGGAGGATCCCGAGGAGTCTGAAATTGGAGTTAAAAATTAAGAAAAGTATACTCCAGAAGCTTGCCATCTCATGAGAAAGCACCAGTAGACAATTATTCTTAAATGTAGTAAGAACACAACTACCATTTACTAAGCAACCAAGTAATATTTAATTCAAACCTATAAAGAATGCGATATGGTGTTCTAGACATTTTACAACAGAGCAAAGATTAGTGAGGTTGAGTAACTTATCTGGAGTCACATAATTCAAATTTCAAATCACACTCATCCTAGTTTGTCAATTTCTGGAGCTTAGAAAATAAAATGGAAATAAATTGGCAGAGGCAAAATGTGATTTTTGAAAAATCAATAAATAGTTCAACTACCTAAAGATGCTTTTAGTGAAAAATCAGATGAATGTGCTCATGACTCAGGCAGGCCACGTCAGCATTGCATCAAGGGCAGGGGGTGGTGGCTTTGACCACTACAACATTTTAAATTCATAGTCATCTGCTGCGTGATTTATACTCATTAAGCCAAGACAGAACTGAGATTTCAACATTTTGGAAATACTTCTGCAAAGTCCTGTTATGCTCTCAATCAGATCCAAAAACTGCACTTATCTAATGAAAATTCTAACATAGAACATCAAAATGATGAATCCAGTTTCTTAAAAGTCAACATCAAAAAGCAAAAATATAGTAATAATTTATCAACTTGGCTTCTGACTGAGAATCAAGACCACCCACATCACATATGAATTACAAAGAACTGCTAGCAAACCACAACCCCAAAGCTTTCTTATGTGTCATTTACAAACATAAAAATTTAATCTGCTGGCTTCAGATACAATGAGTCAAGAATTCAAAACCCAAAAAAAAAAAAAAAAAAAAAAGAAAGGTTGAGGGGCTGGAGGTTTATTTATTTATTTTTTTTTTTTTTGTCTTTTTCATTTTTATCGGTACCGGGGACCGAACTCACGACTGCCTGCTTGCAAGGCAGGTGCTTATGCCGCTGAGCTAAATCCCCAGCCCCGGGGCTGGAGGTTTAGCTCAGCGGCATAAGCGCCTGCCTTGGAAGCGGGCAGTCCTGAGTTCGATCCCCGGTACCAATAAAAAGGAAAAAGACAAAAAAAAAAAAAAAAAAAGAATTCAAAACCTTGGGCCACTGAAAGTAGTAATTTTAGTCTATTTCTGACACCATTACACCATTAAAGAGAAAGTTATATTTTAATATACATTCGGTTTCAAAACCAAATATGTCACTCAATTAAAAACATATTTGTTGATAATAAATCATACTTTTCCTTACATAATTTAAAGTTAAAATGAAGATTGCTCATGAAGAAAAAGCAAAAGCTTTTTTTCACAAGATGATATTAAAGGTAAACTCTAATGCAATCTTTAATAACAAACTGATACATAACATGGAAAAGGATTAGAGCCAGAAATGATTGGCCATTGTCACACTGTGCACTGATAGCTGCCATGGAAACAAAGAAAGGACATCTCATTCAGGCTGAGAAAAGAAGCACCAATTTTAAGTATAGAATAAAGCAGGGACAAAAGGAGCGGGATGAGAAATTGCATGATGCTGCTGGGTATGGTTGCATACACCTATAATTCCAGCTCATGATGAAGCTGAAACTGAGGCAGGGGCTCACTGTGAGTTCAAGGTCAGCCTAGAATACATAGCAAAACTGTCAAAAAAAAAAAAAAAAAAACCCAGAAAATAAAAATAAATGAAAAAAAGGCATGATGCTAAGGAAACACACCCTTCGATTTTACTGAGGTTGAAGGTAAAACATGCCACAGGGCCTGGTACACCTGGAAGGGAAGCTTATTAGACTTAACTCTGGTACTTTAAAAGTAAAAAAAAAAAAAAAAAAAAAAAAGTTTCACAGAATCAGAATGTGCAGGATAAGGCCTGATATATACAGGTGGATTTAGAGGTGTCATGTCCCTAGGATTCTGATTATAGTATGGTTAGAGAATATCTGCTACAGGTGACAGGAGACTTTTAAGCAGTACGTGATGACCAATGACAAGGGCCGATGCCCATTTCTGCAACAGGATCCTGATGGTCTTGAAAAGACAGATGCAAGGGATTAAAAACATGAAGCAGAAAGACCACTTGTGAGTCCGCTGTGATAACACAGGTGGGTAAGTGACATTACAAGACTTTGAATCAGGACAGAAACAATATGAATGGGCAGGAGGGTTGGTCTTGAGGCTTATCTTAGGGCTACAATGAACAGGACCTAGTACCTTACTGAAAATGATGGGTCAAAGGAGCTAAAGATAATGTAAGTTTTGATTTAGGAAGCTGAGTGATGGGGGTAAAGGCATGTAAGAGAGATGAGGAAAAGGACTTCTCCCTGTTTTAATTACTTTCAGATCCCAAGGATAACACCCCTAAAAGCTCTCAAAGCCAGTACACCTATCACTCTGTGCTCTCAATACTCCTTGCTTGCTTCTCTCACAATACACAACTCACCATACTACTACTACTATCTGGTTTTCCCTCTATATTTACCAACTGATAAAACCAAACTTGTATTTTCATTACCTGCTCTAAAAAAGCACAGCAGAGCATGGCAATAGCAGATGCTCAGAATGGTTCCATTAAGATGTGAAATCAAGTGCTGAATATTTGGGTCTGAAAGCTGCAGGTTGATACACAGATTTAGGAACCATCAGCTCTGTGTTAACCAAGCCTGTGATTACTCACAGACAATCTGCAGTATGAAGAGAGAATTGAGGATAAAATCCTGCGGAAGACCCTAGTTAAGGAGGGACTTTCTTTCATAAAGGAAGCTAAGAAGGAAAAGGTGGAGAAGTTGGCGGAAGGGCATGAAGAAATGCAGAGTTAAAAGTTGCAGAAATCCTAGTGAAACCCATGCTGGTAATGCAACAAGTGCACACGTCAAGGAATGTTTCCAATGACTACGGCAACTCAGGGTTACCAAGAGTCCTGGTGAATGGCAGCACAGTTAAGGCTGTACGGCATTAGACTGAAGCGGAGGTGTCAACAAAAGACATGAATTTCTTCAAGTCTAATTTGAAAAAAGGAAAACAAGTGGGCAACAATAAGAATGGGCTGCAGGGTCAAGGACTTTCTGGCTCAACTGATAAAAACACTCAGGTATGCTCAGTCTGGGAGAGACAGTAGAAAGCCAGACGCACGCTAAAGTCAGAGGACACGGTGAAATCTCTAGATCCAGACCTCAGAGGGAAAGGGAAACTGTATATGAAACTATGAAGAAAAAAGAAGGAATTTTCCTCAAACATAAGAGAAGCATTCTATCCTTCTAAAACTTAAGGACGTAAATGGGGATGAGGATACAGCTCTGTTGTGTTCCAAGAAGGGGCAAAACTGGAATATCATGCACAAAGTTGGAGAAGCCCATGGCCAACAGCTCAACTACAGACATGAAATAGGAGGTAAAGACCTAAGTACAGCAACAGAACAGCAGACTGGGTTAAGAGAAAAAAAAAAAAAAAAAAACTAAGGAAAATGAGCTGATCCAGGACAAACAGAATGACGTGAAGGTACAAAGAGACCAGCTGGTTAAACTGTCATTTAAAAAAAAAGCTCTTTAAAATCTAAACATAACTCAAGTATCTTGATTATGCTTTATAAAATGTTTTGTAGGGGGAATGATATTTTTATGACATACCCAGCTAAGTAAGCCAAGGTTATTTTGGAATTTCAAAGTGAGCAGTATTAGATGAAGATCTCACCAAACTAGTCAGAAGAGTCCAAAATATATCTTATATTATATATATATATATATATATATATATATATATCTTTAGAAGATTCATCTCTAAATAGTTTGACACTAATCAAGCTGGTGTAAACTTTTAGCAAGATTTGTCAAAGATTCTAACAGGTACTGGAAAATCAAATGTCCTTGTATTTAAGAATACGTGTGTCTTGCATAGGTTAGTGTGTCAGTGCTCCTAGAAAACCTCTG